ACTAGTAGAGGGTTTTTTTTTTTTTTTGCTCATTTGCAACTTAATTTATTTTTAACCTAGGAATCAACTAAGATGTGAGGTATAAGGTTCAGTGAGCATACTATGGCTGGAACAGGCTAGATCAGAAGCAGAGGGCTGGAAAATCATAGGGCTGTTGCTCTAAGTCTCACAGAGAATTAGTCAGCTTTGGGTCTCTCAATATGCACAGGAGGAGAAAAAGGTGTACAATATGAATCTCAGGACAACCATATAGACGCTTGAAACTAGTAGCTTACATCTGTAGGTTTTCTGCTCTTATTATGACTTTGCTAATAGTGTTCTGTGCGCCTTTGGCATATAGCCATGCTGGCCACATAACCACGGAAATTATCTTCAGAAAACACTAGTTCCCTCAGCCAAGAAATGGAGATGAGCACCATGTCTTAGAGTCAGACACGATTGACAGGGAAACCTTTACCTTTTCCTAATATGTAACCAAGGTAGCTTATCAAGAGATCCTTGAATCTGAGTATCCACCCGGCTGAAGCCTCACAGTAACAGTGTGGTTATGTTGAGGATTTAATTGGCAAATTCTATATTATTGAATTACAAAAGTAATTAATTACAAAACACATTAAATTAATTAAATGTAATTATGTTCCTGTTTAATTAAATTTTAATGTTCCCCCATATTCTTTTTTTAAAAGTTATTTTATGTAGTCTAACAGCCAACCTGTCATTCAAAGGCTGGTGAGGCCTATACCTGACTGTCCTGAACTTATCAATTAATCTTTCTAAAAACACCATCATCATTATTACTCTGCCTTACAACCTAACCTCCTCCCCCAAGTCCTGGTATGCCATCTCATGGTGTATGTGTGTGTGTTCCTCAGAGGGGTGATCAAAGTACACCCACACGGTATGCCAAGAGTATATGTTCCCAGTATATATTCAAACCAAAGGCGTGAAGGTGATCCCAGCTGCTGAGCCAAAGCAAGCAGGCACCTATACTGGGCAGCTGCCATATGGGAAGGTTCTAGAGAAAGAGGATCACTTTAACAACAATGGTAAAGACATCTATCCATACTTCACTGGAGAAGGCAATATTAAACCACTCCTGTATTTTTATCAGGATTACCACATGCATAAATACAGGTAGTCCTTGACTTACAACTGTTCGTTTAGTGACTGTTCAAAGTTACAATGGCACTGAAAAATGTGACTTATGACCTTTTTTCCACAGTTACGACCTTCGCAGCATCCCCATGGTCATGTGATCAAAATTCAGTTGCTTAGCAACTGGTTCATATTTATGACTTGCTGTGCCCCAAAGGCACTTGATCACCTTTTGCGACCTTCTCACAAGCAAAGCCAATGGGGAACCCAGGCTCATTTAACAACGGGGTTAGTAATTTATCAACTGCAATGATTCACTTAACAACTGGCAAGAAAAGTCGTAAAATGAGGCAAAAGAACAATAGAAAGTTTGGGCTCAATTGTAAGTTGAAGACCACCTGTAATATGAAATGATTGATAGAATGCAGATGATGGGCCCGTCAGGTTGGATGGCCCTCAACATAAAGGAAGAGCTAAAAAAATTTCAGAGTACTAGTGGTGTTTATAATGTGGCTAGATTAAAGCCTTCAGGTCATCTAGGTACTGTTGTTGCCATACAGGAAAAGAAAACCTGAAGCTGCAAAGATCGAATTACAGTAGGAACATGGAATGTAAGAAGTATTAGCACAGGGAAACTCAACACAGCAACAGATGAAATGCAACAACTGCATATTCACATTTTTAGAAATTGGCAAATTGAGTTGGACTAGAATTCGACAACTTTGTCAGAAAAATCACATTGTTTATTACTCAAGAGATAAAAAAATGAAAAGGAACAGCTTTTTACAAATGGAGACAAATGTATGTGTCCCAGGATAGTGTTGTTGAAGGAAAAGTCTTCATCCTGGTTCATCCAAGCTGGGGATAAATAAACAACATGGCGACTGCTTTAGAAAGAAGGTTGCAGTTTATTGAAGAGGCAGAAAGATGGTTCTTGTAGGAAAGAGGAGAGAAAAAGAAGGCCGAGTACATATGGGAAATAGGTTTTTATAACCTCTGAAGCTTTTTGTTTGGAATAGGTTCCTGTTTTAGGCTTTGTATTTCCTGTGTCATGTATTCTGACCTGAGTCTGGGTATGCCTTTCTGGTATTCTTGATGGTGATGGGCTAATCCTATTATCATATCCTGCTTCCCTGGTGATGGGGCTAATAACTCCTAGAGTTTGGGTGGGGTATGCAGATTTTAGGTGTCTTTGTCTTCTTGATCTCCTAGCTGGGGCCTTTCTGATGGTTTATATCTGCATTTGTACAGGGCTGGCTTCTGCTTGGGACAGAGAGACTTGGGGGCAGGGTTGGTTTCTGCCTTTAAAATCCTTTGGAGGAAATATATTTTTCTGCCCTTTTAATATTTCCTTCTCTGGGGAGCTGACTTCCCTCAGTGTTGTGGGTAAGTCATTGGGACCAGAAGTTTTCTCTTCCAAGCTTTTGAACTCATTCTGGAGCCCATCTTCTCTAGAGAGAAGCTCCCTGGGGATGGGCTCCAACACTATCCTGGGACACGTATATTCGTCTTCATTTGTAAAATACTGTTCCTTCTTCATTTTTTTAATAAGCGTTTTTAGAGGTAGTCCTTGGATTATGAGTGCTCATTCAGCAACCATTTAAAGTTATAATGGAGCTGAATGAGGAGTACTTGTGACGAATCCTCAGATTCTGGCTTTCACAGCATCCCCTCACTGACGTATTTGCCATTTGTGACCTTTCCTGATGGTTTCTTACAAACAAAGTCAATAGGGCAGGGGTCTTCAAACTTGGCCCTTTTATGACGTGGACTTCAACTCCCAGAATTCCTCTGCCAGCATGCCTGACTGAGGAATTCTGGGAGCTGAAGTCCACAAGTCATAAAAGGGCCAAGTTGAAGACCCCTGCAATAGGGAAACCAATTGGGAAGGTCGCAAATGACTCCCAGCCTTTTTTCTCCTGAGGAGCCCCTCTATTGTGATCCCAGGGATCTCATAATCTATGGCATCTTTTAGGATCAACAATCAATAGTAAAGGAACAAGCAATCAAGAAATACCCTGCAGACTAGCCATGAAGGCCTTGGAAAAGATATTCAGATATCTTGATGTTTGTATACCTACAAAATGGTCAGCCCTGGCCTTTTTAGATCCTATGCACAAACATTTAAAAGGAAGACAAATAATGCAAGGTAAGTCTTCTTGTAGCCAAGCTCAGTTACTGCTGACATTGTGGATACATCCATGCAGTTTTCTTGTCATCCTTTTTCCATGATATTTATTTGCAGTTTCCTAGATTAGATTACAGTGAGATTTCTTAGTGCTCTTTCATCCTAGTAATGAGATCCAAATCAATCTAGCCTCATCACATCAGTCAAGAGTTAGAAGGTAGGGTAGAAGAAGGCAATCTATGTTATGGCAATTCTCTATAAATCAAGTTGGAGAAAATTGAAACAACTCAAACTATACTTTAATATATTTGAAACATTTGTAGTCTTTCTTTTTAAAAGTGAAGTATTATATAAAGTGTGTGTTTGTGTGTGTGTTGTGCCATGCCTCCAAGTCAGTTTTGACGCCTGGCAACTCCCTGGACTAGTCCTTGCAGTTTTCTTGGCAAGGTTTTTAGAAAATGTTTACCACTGACTTTTTCTTAAGGCTGAAAGAGAGTGACTGGCCATTTGCGCCTAAGGCAGGTCTAGGACTCACAGTCTGCTCTTTCTAGCCTGGTTCCTAAACTGCTCTACCAAACTGACTCTTTCATGTAAGAAATTAGAATTCATTTTGTTTGTTAAAAAAAACAACAACTAAATGCTATAAATTTGAAAAGCTGGATTTTAAAGCTGAATTTAAAAGAATTCTGACACATTTTCTGAAAGTAATAATAGAAGGGATGAATCATCACTAGAGAAGAAAATATGTTCCATTGTTTGAGATGTTGTCCTCAGCTTCTTAATGAGAAAAGTGCTCCCTCATTTATTCAAGCTTCAAGCAATCTGATCTAAATCAGCATTTCAAAGTGTTTTTTTTTCTGAATGAAGTTACTACTACTGTTCCCATCAGAGAGGGGGCAATGAAATAATAACAGTAATCATCATCAACAATTGAGGGGTCAGCTCATTGACCTAATCTGCCCACATTGCTTTTCCTGATCACACCATGTTATTGATTCATTTTGCAAATTGTCCTACAGAACAGTCAGGCATGTTGGGTCAGATTAAAATCATGGAGATACAGATTCAAAATATGGTTCCCCTACAAAGATCAAAGGAATGACTGGGGTTTTGTGGGGATCAAATGGGAAATGGCACTTCATACTTCTCTCCTTTCTTTGGAAAAAAACTGGCTGCCAGGTCTTTGAATCCACACCTGGGGTTTCAGGGTTACCCTCTTTTTAAGTAACTTGGATGGTGAAACAATATGAGGGTTTTTTTTGTTTTGATTTCCTGACAAGAGAGGTGCTTGTGAGACTTTCTGCCTCCCAATGGGTAAATTCATCTTTTGAATGTTTTATATATGGGGGGGGGGGATTTATTGCTCAACCCTGACAGCAAAATCCCTTGATCCTCAAAGAATTAACTTTTTAAATAAAGTCCTTAAGTAGGACAACGGAGAAGCTCTCAGCTTGATCCACATGACAGGGACCCTTCAAGCAGAAATAGCATCAGAGGCTCCATACATTTTACCTACAGGGGTAAATAAATAGGGCCTTAGGTGGATTTTCTAGCCAGCAGTCTTTAAAGCATGCCTTGTTTGTTTTTTTGCATAAATGAAAAAAAATAAGCAGATATTTTGCAACTTTAAAAAAAACTATCAGAAAGTAAATAAAAAGGAGAAATGAAAATACATTAACGCCCACTTCTAAAAAGAAGTTAATAAGGAAGATCTGGTCCCTGCTGCTATGCTATACCTGCTGCTGCAAATCTCTCAGGTAACAGGTGTCTGGTTCCCCAGTCAGTGTACTAAAGGATGACTTCATAGGGGTGGAGCCCAGTTAGATTGTAAAGGTGGCACTCAGGTGAGCCAGGTAAGAAGTGAACTTATGCGGGTCTCTTCAGCACGTCAGCTGTTCCTTGAAGGAAGCTGATCCTGTTGCCCACGCAACAAGCACACACACACCTCCCTGCTAAGCTGCTTGTATTATTATTTTCCCAACCATCTGGGCAAGAAACACGAGCTTGGAAATGGAAACCAAAGATCCTACTGGAAAAGAAAGTATGGGGGTCAGGAAAAAGAACCTCACCTTCCTAAAGCAGAGATTGTACATGCTGGAAAGGAGGAAGACGGACACGGTGGTGGAGAGCAGCACTGCAGGAGACCACAACAGCAGCTCTGCAACCTTGAGGAGGAGCCAGTCAGACAGGAGTGAATACAACCAGAAATTGCAAGGTAAAATTGGGCAGGGGAAGGAGAAGAAGGAAGAATCAAGCTACTTTTCTTAAGGAGTAATCCATATGCTTGGAAACGAGGAGGAGGAGAGTGTTCTACCTGGAAGATACTTAAGGCAGTTAATATATTTTTATTATTGTTTCAGAAAGAGCAATAAGATAGAAATACCTTGAAAGGTATTTAGTTTATCTCATTACACTGAAGGGGAGATTTTAATTAAAGGCCACATTAACTTTGTTTATAATTATACAATTCTTTAAAGCCACATTTTAGACAGGTGCAAATTACCCTATTTTCACGTGAAATGAAATAATAGGAACTAAGCGGTGGGAGCTTCGTCTTGGAAAGTGAAAAAGTTTTGCTTCGTTATGTTCATGTTTGGATCTTAAGTGAAGTGAGAATATTGATTTTTTTTCCGTGCTTATGTCCCTGGGGTCACAAATGAAGAAAACACTAATTTGTTATTCACACAATAAGGCAAGTCCAAGTCTAAATTTAAAATAACTGTATGTATAGACACATATATAGATATATAAGTAGTCCTCATTTACAACCACAATTGAAACGAGAATTTGCATTGCTAAATGATACTGTAATTGAGTCTCACCTGAATTTTTGCCATAAGCGAATCACACTGTTGTTAGCCGAATCTGGCTTCCTCCATTGACTTTGCTTGGGAAGGACATAAATGGTGATTACATAATTCTGGGACACTACAACCATTGTAAATACATGCCAATTGCCAAGCACTCAACTCATGATCACATGACCATGGAAATGCCACAACAGTCATAAGTGCATGAACCCATTGTAAGTTTTTCAATGCCATTGTAACTTTGAATCCTTAAGAAATGGTCATAAGTTGAGAACTACCTGTAAAGAGAGGAGGTTTTTTTCTATTCCTAAAAAGGATTTTTCCTAATTCAGTATGAAAAGGTTAGGCTATACAATAATCATTCTGGATTGCAGCCAAAGTGGCTTAAATAATAGTGTATGTGTAGCATTCACTATACTGGTGGAATGTAGGTTATAAAACCACATTGTAATGCTGAAAAGGTTTGTAACATTGCCCTAAAGCAACCTCACAGAAGCATTATAGTCCCAATAACAGTGGAATTCAGTGACAAACAATAGCCTGTGATGTAAAGCTCATCCTTTCTATCTGCAGAATCTTCCTATAGTATGCAGACTGTATTTCCCTATATGCAAAGGGATTGTATTGTATTGGCAGAGCAATTAGCCAGGAAGAATTTCCCTGTGACAAACCATTGCCAGACGCTTCGTTTGTTAAGGCTACCTTCTATTTAGCTGCAAAAGAAAACTAATATTGGGAAATAGTTTTTCTGCCCATTTCCAATTCCCAGCTGTAGTCAATATATACAGGATTTTCTTATTTTTATACGATCTACAGTGAATCCCATTAATGACAGAAAGGCAGGAATAAACAGGGAAATAATTTACATGATTCTTGTATCTGTATCTCAAAAGCACAGAACTTCCCCACATTGCTGAAAACAATACTATGAGTAATCACTGGACAGTCCCAAAAGAAGTAGCCTTTAGCTAGTCTAGCTTTATTCCAGCTTTAATCCTTTTATTTATATAATGACAGGAGAATAGAGATGGAAAATAGGACAAAAGGTTATCCCTCCTCTATTCTGCACATGAAGTAATTGGAGGAATGGAAAAGTATGGAGACCCTTTTGTTGAACAAGCTAGCATAGGCTACTCATATACAGTATAAAGGTATAAATCACGGTTTCCAAAGTAATAGTTAAATTCATCACTGCACTGGGCTAAAGATAAACACTATATGGAGATTTGTAACAAGCCATAATCTTTTATTTGCTTTGATTGTAGAGTGATGTGTTACTCTATGCACTGTAGTTGATGGATTATGACTTAATAGTATATGTGAATAAGGTCAAGAGGATTAAGACAACATGTAAAATTAATTCCATTAGCATAATAAGTTATTACAAATATTTTGAGCCCCTGAAGAGAAATCACAGAATTTGTTCAGATTCTAGTGAGGCCTCTGGATGAAAAACTTGCCCTGAGCCACATTGCCTGATTTAGACTCAGTGCTCCTTGCTGTTCTTGTTATCAGCCCCTCCTGTTGGGTTTCCTCATGATAGGAAATCTCTTGTGGTTAGATTTTTACAATCACATAACCTCTGGTTAATGTTAGTTAGACTTACTCAACTTATGCTTATATAGCACAATTTATGTAAATAGTTCTAACCAGGTTTGGCAACATTCTCAGCTTCGTAGTATAGGTAGTCCTTGACTTACAGCCATAATCGAGCCCAAAATTTCTGTTGTTAAGTGAGTTTGCCCCATTTGTTTGCCACAGTTGTTAAGTGAATCGCTGCAGTTAAGTTAGTAACACAATTGTAAAATGAATCTCACTTCCCCATTGACTTTGCTTGTTAGAACAGAGGTCTCCAACCTTTCTGGATTCGCAGCCCGGAGGGAAAGAGAGCAGCTTCCAAATTGTTGTGCACATGCACACACACAAACGGGGCCACGTCCACTGGCAGGGCACTAGCGTCCCCATTCACGCATGCGGCACGCGCAAATGGGCCATGCACAGCCACCCAGCACTAGCAGCCCCATTTGCACCCATGTGTGCTAGCACGAGTGGGGGGAAATGTGCGCCCACTCGTGCACGCACCGGCCAGGCATTTCCACAGACCGCTGGCCAAGAGCCCACAGCCTGGTCCCAGGCTGGGGCCCATAGATTGGGGACCCCTGTGTTAGAAAATCACATGAACCCAGGAAACAAGAACCATCATAAATATTAGCCAGTTGCCAAGTGTCCGATTTTTATCCTTTGACCATGGGGATACTGCAATGGATGTAAGTGTGAAAAACAGTCATAAGCCATTTCTTTCAGTGCCACTGAGCTTCGAATGGTCACTAAAGAAATGGATGTAAGTTGAGGACTGCCGGTAGTCTGTCATACAGCATTATACAATCCCAGCTATTTCTTAACATTTAACCCATGTTTCCTTAGAGTCATGCATTCCAGGATTGGACATAATGTCTTATTTATTGTTTCATTTATTTGCTTCATTCAGGAGCACAAGGCAGCACATAGAACCCTCCCATTTTCTCCCACGTCATCAAAACTTGATGTAAGAGAATGACTTGTATCTCTCAAACTCAGTTTAAAATCTTAATTGAGGGCACAGACCAGCTAGTAGAATAGTGCTACCAGCTGTGCTTTGGATTCTACTTAATTTCACATTAGTGTAAAAATATGAATGAGCAATATCATTCCTAGGTTTTTATTTTTGTAACAACATGCTGTAATACTGGAATTTGTTTGAGACAATAAATTACCTTTAATTTCTTCATATATATTCCCCGGTTCAAAATAAGTGTTGAATATTTCTGATGGTGTTGTTATTTGTGGAATATCCTTTCATTTTCAGATTTGGGAACATTTTCTCACATGTGACTGCCTTTCATTAGAATTTCTGAGATCTCTTTTCAGTCAATTTAAAAACAGGAAGTATCTCAATAATAGACATTATATTGAAAGGTCAGTGTCATGTAAATGGATGAGCAATTTAAACAGGAACCGAATCTACTAGTATTAGTAAAATAAAATAATGGATTACTTGAATAGCTTTCTTCCTTAAGCCAATGTTTGCATAAGGCAGGACTTTTTTTTGTAATCTGTGGCCTAAATGGATATATAATGATCCTTTTTTACTAGTTGCCATTCATTATGAGCAATATAACTCTCCTATACATTATTTACCATATATTTTTTATTTATTGCTTAGTGCACCAACACTATAAAATATAAACCATTGGTTTATATGGTTTTTTGTTTTTTTGGTCTGGATGGATCAAGTTACAAATAGGAGTATAACAGGACATATATATCATAGTGGGAAAATGATGCTTATGTAAATATCTGTTGGCCTTTCTAATCTTTTCATGTTAAAAGGTCTATTCAAATGTCACTCTCTTTGAGCTTTAGGTAATCATAGTTACGGTAATTAAATTGGTTAGTATTTTTGAAAGCCTAAAAACTCTCCCTGTTTTTTTTATAAGATAGCTTAGCTCCCTGTCAAAACTGATCTTCAAATATCCTATTAATCACAGTGCTTTTTTTCTTTAAAAAAAAAAAGGTGCCGGAACTCACACATGTCATACAACCCGCCTTGCCTATCCTACAAGGTTTCCATCCCAAAAAGGTGCCGGAACTCCGTTCTGGGCGTTCTATGACACAAAAAGCCCCGATTAATCAAATAGTTATACAGTAATACAGTTCTTAATAATTATATGAAATGAGATGGTAAAATTAAAAAAAATTCAGATGAGTATGCCTTGAAGTTTGAATTTGGAATAATGTAGCATCTATTTATACTGTAGCATCTGTCATCAATCTAAACTTGATGCAAAAGTGGGAACTGAAAAATATATCCTTTTAATTATGTATTCTTTAAATGCAGTACAATGAAGGCAATTTACCATTTTAAGTCATAATGTATAATAAATGCACATTTAGGAACCAATCTTCAAGCCTTATGGAAAGATAAATAATTTTATTTATTTACTTAAATTGATTAGCTGTCCCACTCCAAAGGATTCTGGGTGGTGTAATGTTTATATGATTTCACTGATTAAATACAAGTAATTAATCACTCCTCTGTATTTAATAGTGCCCTTCTTTCATCATGCAGCCGTGGGATATAGTGATTAAGGTGTTGGTATAGGATAAGGAGACCAGGTTGAAATGTACCTTTAGCCAAAATTCACTGGATGATTTTAGCCAGCCACTCTCTTTTAGCAAAACCTACCTCATGAGGATGCTGTGGTGAGGATAAAATGCAGGGGGAATCCTTGAGGTGATGTCTCCTAAAAGTAACTTGGATATAACCCTAATGAGTAGATAAATGAAGATTACAACTGAGTCGCAATTTTTGGAAAGACACTGTAAATTTTAGATAGTTGTAGATTACGTACCTCTGTCTTAATCT